ATCTTTCAACTCACACCTCCCATTTCACTCCAGGCATATGTTCCACGAGTTGACACAGTCACCTCTGTGTAGAGGTGACAGCATTAGTAATTACGCTTTGACATAGGGTATGAACTGTATACATATTACTATCCGAACTGCTGTATGCTGTGAATAGATTACTAAATGTGATGTCTACAAGCTACATCAACCTTTCAGACAAGTCAAACCCAGCACAATATCATTCAATAACTGGAAACAAAGAATCATTGTTCTTTTTTGTATTCTACCAATTTCATTTTATTTTCAACTGCCCAGTTCAATGCAACGTTCCATACTTGAAATGTAGATGTCATTTTCTTAGACTCATTATACAATAAGCTTGTAATGAGTCACCTATACAAATATCCTGTAAAAATGCATGACAATGTTCACTTTAATCAAGCTCTTTTGATGTGATGGCCTGTCATCTATATTAGGTTATAGATATACAAGATGGACTGATAAATTATCATTTTCATCGCAGTATTCAATGGTTTTAAATTTGTCAATTTTAGGATTTAATTATTTCTGTATTTTATATTTTTTAGTTAGACTGATAGCTAATAATATATTTTATGTCAATTACTGATCAAAATATTTTTATTTTTTTAGGCAGGAAGAATTAAGAGTTAAAGTGCAGCTATACAATCCTGGGATTGCACTAGTGCATCATGGGAAATGTAATTTGAATGACCGTTCATCATTCGCTCGTTATTTAAAGTTTTCAACACATTATGATTATCAAGAAGAGCAATTTCACAGAGCACTCTGTCCGGATACAAAACCATTGAGTGTGATATTTGCATAGTTACTGAAATCTGGTCGCCATGGCCTTTCCATTCATACACCAGCATGTGCCAAAATGTTTAGTCTTTCATGTTTGGAGAGGGATTACATCAGTAGCATTCCTGTTATTCAGGACCCACATTGAGACCAGCATCGGGACCCACATCGGGACCCACATCGGGACCCACAATGAGACCAGCATTGAGACCAGCATTGAGACCAGCATTAAGACCAGCATTGAGACCAGCATTGAGACCAGCATTGAGACCAGCATTGAGACCAGCATCAGGACCCGTATTGAGACCCACATTGAGACCAGCATCGGGACCCACATTGAGACCAGCATTGAGACTAGCATTGATAGCAGCATCGGGACCCACAATGGGACCCACATCGGGACCCACATCGGGACCCACATCGGGACCCACATCGGGACCCACATCAGGACCCACATCAAGACCCACATTAGGACCCACATTAGGACCCACATCGGGACCCACATCGGAGCCCACAAGACTTGTGATGAAATCACACTATCATTCGTCAATCTGATATTCAATCCAAACATTCAGACCGATATGCCTATGATGATAATATTAATTACTATATTAAAATCACATCCATTTGCTGTTTATGGTATTTATTATGAGTCATCGTGTACATGAACGGCAATGAAGGATTTAAAGAAACTGGTGGCAGCAACGCATAATTATATGTCGCAGACAACATTTTGCATTCATTACTGCAGCATCCAACCATATCAAGTTGTACTTCTCCTCATTGTCATTGTCAAGTGGGTGCCCGACAGATGTACTCGATGACTTTAAGTGAAGCACGATAAGTAATCATTGAAAATGCATGTAGAAAAATATGCAGAAAAGGTGATAATTAATGTATTGTTGTGCTATATTTTCAGTGTGATTTAGTTGTTGTTTATTTGAAATCTATTATTGTATTGTTGTTCTATATTTTCAGTGTGATTTAGTTGTTGTTTATTTGAAATCTATTATTGTATTGTTGTTCTATATTTTCAGTGTGATTTAGTTGTAGTTTATTTGAAATCTATTATTGTATTGTTGTTCTATATTTTCAGTGTGATTTAGTTGTTGTTTATTTGAAATCTATTATTGTATTGTATGTGTAGTTTAATTGTAGTTTATTTTAAAAAAGC